GGGCTCAACAGATCCCTTAGAGAAAGTTGTCAACAAACCAATTTCATCAGAATAATTCAAAGACGCAGCCAAGCAGATGACAAAAGGAAAATGCTCAGGTAATTATTAGCTACGAAATGAATTCAACATGGCAGTCTGGTTAAACGTAAGTTCATACCTATTAGAGATTTTCAACCACGTTCTGATGGGGGAAATACTAATGAAAGGCATGATTACGAGAATAATCGCACTCCTGTACAACAAGGGTGACAAAAAAAATGTTAGGAACTAGAGTTCAATTTCCTTACTTAACGTCTCGTATAGAGTTCTCGCAAAGATGTTCGCCATCAATATAGCTAATTACTTACCATCACTTGTGGGTAAGGAACAAGAAGTCTTTATGAGGCACAAAAATATAATGAAAAATATTGTATGAACAATTCAAACACTTGAAATAGTAGCCAAAGAAAACATAGGGTAACTATCTTACTTTTGAACACGGAAAAACCTACGATCGTGGAAGGTGGACTTTCGTTATGACAACCTTGTGACATATAGGTTTCGCCTATAACTTTTGTCATTAGGTAGCAATCATGTAATCAACCGTAAGAGCTTTGGTAACGGTTAATGGGCAACTATTCAAGAAGTTCGGGCTCATGAGATCTCTTAGACCAGATTGCTCATACAACAACAATTCTAGACCTTGAAATAATAGCCACAGGAAACAAAAAGTAGCTATCCTACTTTTGAACATCGAAAAAAACCATGATCATGCAGAACGAGTTTTTGTTATGACAATCCTGAGGCATATGGGTTTTTCCCATAAGTGTAGTCGTTTGGTAGAAACCATGTAATCAACCGCTACGACTTTGGTAATGGTTCATGAGCAACTATCTAAGCAATTCGGGTTCACTATATCGCTTAGATAAGGTTGTTCATTTGTCCTCCTACTTTTTTTCTATGTATGAAAATTTTGTTTGATAATATAAGATATAACAATGGACTGGAAGGATTAAAACTTCAAAACAACTTAAAATGGAAAATCGGCGCCATAGGATATGATGTAACAATTGCTATGCTAAGCACCAAATATAATTGTCTGACTCTTAGAAAACTGTAAATCTGTACTCTAATATCTCGGGGACGTTGATTAACTCGAATAAATCTATGTATTTTTTACCTAGCTCACATGAAACGCAGGTCCCTTGGGGTTTGAGAATTACACCCACCAATGCATCAGGCATGTTTCTTGGAATTTAGATTTTCCTCAAAGACAACTAGGACCTGCAAGACTCACTCCTTGAAGAAAAATTCATCAACAGGCTGACAAGTTGGAGTTATAACAAACACTTATTCTTGTTTGGTCAAGCGTTGGTGATCATAGTAGCAAGATTCTCAACCCTTTGGTACACGTTAGTTATTCACCTACTAGGTGACCAGTCATACAAGTGAATCCACAAGGCAAATATAAGGTACCTCTATAAACCAGAAACGAAGAATCAATATAACTACATGAGGAAAGTCACTTGGGAGACGATAAACTTTCTTAAGGAAGAAGGAGGTCTGGGATAGTCGACCCGTAGCAGCAGAACCTAGCCTTGATGTCGAGATGGGAGTCAAGGTGATTCTGGCTACTCTAGATACCCCCTAACTTGCACTGACTGTTTACTCTATCATAAGCAAGGAGTGGGCACTTAGAAGACCAAAAGATGTATTGTCCTTGATCAGATCCTAAACTTATAGACGATCAAAGTCAAAATTATGGAGAAATATCCTGAAGGTTTGGTAAAAGCTTTACCAGTCAACAAAAGACCCACCCAACTCTAAAGCCACATTACCCAGATTTTATTTGAAAACCCTCAAATACTGGATAGCAGGGGGAAAATGTTTATGATTAGTGATCCGCCAGAACATATTTGAAGGAGATGCATAAAAACGAGGGTAGCTCGGATAGCAGACATTTGGGACTCAGAGACCAACAGCGGAAGTCTATGGGAGAAGTGAAACTTAGATTGGGCAGACGAGTCACATAGAAGACAAACTTAAACCACTAGTACCTTTGTCATTTCAAAAAATAGCGGGCCTCCAACCTTTTAGGAGGCCGAAATGAAACGACGACCACCGATTAGATTTATCAATGGCAGTTGTCGTCGGGCCCAGCCTCCGAATTCTTCGAGAATGGGCGTTTTCCCTAATTTATGAAACGACAAAGGTACTAGTGGTTTAACGCTATCATTCAAGTCATCCCAACCTGGTGGCTCAACCACCTGACTAAGATTATCATCCAGTACACGGGTTGTGGTATAAAAGAGTCCGTCCTACAAGAGACAAGGTCATCCTACAGATGACGGAGCATCTTTAAATGGAAGGCTACACAACCAAGGAGTGGCAGAAAAGTGAACTTGAAGATTTTGGCAACCCCAATGAACTTATCTTATAGAGCATCGTGAGGGTAACTTCTTTGGACGATTTGACAGAAGTAGTGGTAACAATGAAGTCTTAGAAGCTCATGGGGGGGCCTCCCTGATAGATAAAGCTTGTATGCAGATAGGGGACATACCTCTACGAATACTACCTACATGTGACGTACCAACTTCCGTGCTTGAATGAGCTTCCAAAGTCTTGGGTTCTGCTATTCTCTTTTTTTTCTTTTTTGATCTCTAACAGGTTTTTGCGCACCTTCTTCTTGACGGACGGATGATGCACGGAATCAATGACTGCTTTACTTTCTCATAATTCTTTGGACTTTTATTTGTTTTTCTTCAAAAAATCCATGAACTTATGTAGGAATTACACACGCCTTAGCGAGCGAGCTAGGAATTTTGTTCGACAATTAGGAACTCTAGAATTTGCGGGTGCACTTCCCGCCCACGTGTCCATTCTTGTATATGAGTGTTGCCAACTCCGCCTCAAAAAACTCTGTGAATTTTCCGTAAGAATCTGAATAGGCAGAGTGGGGTTTGGGGTGGTGAAATGGCCAGGGGGAGAAGGGTATGGGATATCTTTCGTAAGAGACTTCCAACTCATAGTCATCTTCCCAGACTGGTTCACACTCCAGCTAGGCGTGTCTCTCAGAGATCCACAATATTTCTCCGATCCTTTTCCCCCCTTTGAACTAGCTTTGGTTGACATGCAATGGTTTGGATTAGGGGATAACGAGTAAAGGTTCTTTTGGGTGCCATCGGGGATAGTGAAGCGCTTGCAAGGTTGAATCTGGCAGTCGGGTTTGGACTGAAGAGGCATCCCTCTATATATCTTTGTTTTTTCTAGTTTGAGCTCCAAATGGTGCTCAATGGGACTCTGGACCCGGTTTCCAGCAGATGTCATATTCCCAGTTTATGCTGATCAATCATTTTATCATTGTCTCTCAGGGGATGCTGGAGCAGTTTTCTAGCAGGTGTAGCTCTCCACCAATAAAATGGAGCCCCCTGCAAGACAGGTAGGAGTGCATGCCCTTATCATGATGCGGGATGTTTCTTCAAAAAAAAAAAAAAAAGCCGCAGCAAAGCGACACTCCAAGGGCAAAATGGGATGCTGGTACCACAACTTAACCAAAACTGCATTCTTTATGACCAGTCCCCTTCCAAACAGACTAACCCCCTTCCGCCTCAAGGGTCAGCATTCTTTAACAAAGTAAGACTAAAACAAAAAAGTGGTTGTGGGCCACTCTGGTAACCCGGGGCTAGGTCCCACTTGCACGAATTAAGAGATACTGACCGTAGATAGCAAAGATCAACAACCAAAATCTCCTAACTTGCGCAAGCGGGACCTTGCCCCCGGTTACCTGATCATATCCTTTTCAACAAAAATAAAGCATAGCTACCTGGAGCATCCTATCCCAAGAAAATGACACCCACACTTCTATATCTGGCACCCCC